ACCTTTCCAGCAGATTGGTATGGACCTACTGGGGCCGTTCCCGACGTCGGCTTTCGGAAACAAGTGGATCGTGGTAGCTACCGACTACCTCACCGGCTACGCCGAGACAAAAGCCCTGCCAAAAGGCAGTGCATCCGAGCTAGCTAAGTTCTTCGTCGAAAATATCGTCCTACGTGACGGCGCCTTGGAGGTCCTTATCACCGACAGAGGAACGGCATTCACTGCCGACTTAACTCAAGCGATCTTGGCATACAGCCAAACAAACCACCGCCGGACGACAGCGTACCACCCACAGACCAACGGCCTCACCGAGCGGCTTAACAAGACGATCGCCGACATGCTGTCAATGTACGTTGATGTCGAACACAAGACGTGGGACGCCATTCTTCCGTATGTGACCTTCGCATACAACACGGCGGTTCAGGAGACGACGCAGATATCTCCATACAAACTGGTCTACGGAAGGAGCCCGGCAACGACGCTCGATGCCAGGTTACCCAACGTCACCGACGAAGAAAACCTCGATGTGAGCGAGTACCTTCAACGCGCCGAAGAAGCCCGACAACTTGCGCGTCTTCGTATCAAGAATCAACAGACGACCGACAGCCACCGTTACAACCTTCGACGACGCTTCGTGGAATACCAGCCCGGTGAACGCGTTTGGGTGTGGACGCCGATACGCCGACGTGGACTAAGTGAAAAGCTTCTGCGACGGTACTTCGGACCGTACAAGGTGGTTCGACGTCTCGGCCCACTTGATTACGAGGTTGTCCCCGACGGCATCACGAACTCTCAACGACGCCGATCGCGACCTGAAGTCGTCCATGTCGCACGCCTCAAGCCGTTTCATGCACGTTAACAAACTGAAACAGTGTTTTTTGTATTATTGTTGTATTGTAGTTTATTCATTGTACTTTCTTGCATTATTATTGTACCTTCATCTTTAGTTAAAGCATCGGGACGGTGCCTTTTTTCAGATGGGGGCAATGCCACGTTCCATTTCACAAATTTTTTGTTATCGTTCCGAAACACCACACGATTCTCGGCGCAAACCGCGCCTGCAGGTTTCGAGAAGGTTCCGGACTGTAGTAGATCATTTCGATAAGATCACGCCCACTGTGCGAACGGTACAGATTGTTCTGGAACCTAGGCCACCGCCAGCGATAACGCTAGAACATTCGACGGCAAGGGTATAAATGCCGACGCGCTTCGCCGCTTGTCAGTTGTTGATCGAAGGCCGACGCTGCGTTCGCCGCTATCAGTCCGAGACTGCTATCTGTGCAAGACTGCTGCTGTAATTAGGCTTTCTCTTTACCGGGCACAGGTTCGCCCAAATAAACAGTTAAATCCCAACACGAAGTTTTCTGTCTTTAGCCACGTCACGGTTCCGTGACAATATATCATCAGCCAATGCCATTTAGCCAGGTCAGCAGTAGGTCGGCCAGTGAGCTTGGCTTGACGTCGTAAATTTACCATTCGCCAACACCACTTGGCCATGTCGGCAGTAGGCCGGCCTCCATGCTTGGTTTGACATCATAGATTTACCATCAGCCTACGCCATCTGGCCAGGTTGTCAGTAGGTCGGCAAGTGTGGATGGGCCGACATCGTAAATTTACCATTTGTCAACGCCACTTGGCAAGGTCAGCAGTAGTCCGGTGTTGCGACCGAGGTATGCGGCACTGGAGATCCGGGATCAAGATGTCGAGACAGGAGGAGGTTGAACTTCGTAGGGAGGGTTTATTTACTATATTTACATGGCACGGGTTCTCTGTCCCGAAGCTCTACATTTAAAGCTCTACATTAAAAAAGGCTGTCTCTTGAACAAGCTCCGTGAAGCACACTAAGTAGCCCGTGAGGGCTGATTAAATAGTCTCATCTCCCCAGATCCTTAGATCGGAGAATAGGTACATACGGCACTGTCCAATAACATGTCATGCAGCACACTCGAATGTCATTATGCCGACACCACCCCCCACAAACACACATACACAAACCGAACACGTGTATGGTCCTGGCGATGCTGCCTCTTTCGGCGAATCTTGCTTCCAGCGAGAGGGGTGAAACGCGTTTGTGATTTCGGCGCTCGCGCCGACCACCGAAGCTTTGTCGAACGGCGATCGCAGTCTAGGCGCCTCCGAGGGACCATACCTAGATATCTGGTACTGATTTGAGCGTCGGCGGCTCATCAGTCAGTGATGCACAGCGTGGTGATCCGACGTCTATAATCGGCGGAAGCTCAGCATTGTACCGCGGCACGAAGACGCCACGTGTCGCATCTCTGCGCGGACCTCAAGGACAGCGGAACTTCATCGAGTAATTTTAGCCACGTAGCGCCCAGCACATGAAAACAGCAGCGCGTCTTCGCGATGCCCCTTAAATTCACAAAATGAGGTGGCAGCCTTTCTTCCTTGAAGGCGTTGCGGTCAGCGTTGAGAGCGGACGCACCTCATTTCCTCTCCGCTGTTTTTTTATTTTTGTCAGACACATTCTCAGTACGTATTTTACTAATAGTTAGGGCTTCAGAAGACCCCAAACGAAACATTTATTCAGTAGTGTAAGTATTTATGGATTTGCAGCCATGACATAAATTAGATCATCATGACCCTATAGTCATCAAATGACAAAATGACAAATTTATTTCTGCTATGCTCTAGAGTGCACAAAATCTGAACAAACGTAGTATTTGAATAAGTTGAAGCTCCTAAATAATTTCAGGACTTGAACTCGAAAGTGGCGCCTTCCCTTCTCTGCTTCACGGCTTCATCGTTACCAACTACCTCGGTCCAGATTCTTCTTCTTTACGGCTCCATGCTCAACAAAAACGAAACAAAGAAATTGTCTATCGCATTGGGGATAGTTGTAGAAATACTTCTCCAAGAATAAGCGGGTTCAATTACGATATTAAGGTTCTCGTAGAACTTTTGTGTGGCGTCCTTAATTGAGGACACCAGGGCCAAAAGGGTTTAGATGACAGAGAAAGCGTGATGTCGTGTCCGTTCAACGTTGTTATACATCTGTGAACCCCTAAGACACTCTCCCGTCTGCCATTATACACACTCCTCTGCAGTGATCCCGTGAGGTCTAGAGGTGTAAAGCCTAAAGAATGGAATGTAGCAAGATCTTTGTTAAAAGAAAAGGTACAATTTTCCTGCCATGCTTTTGTTCTTTTTGCTGTTAATGAGAGGTGAAAGCTTGGCAGTATAACGCTCTGACTGAATACAGAACTGCATTTGATTGAACTGCAGTGTTTGATTACCGACACCCTGACACCAACCTCGTGGGCAGGGAGGGGGGAGCGCTCTAAAGAAAAGCACAGTATGTGTGTCAGTATCTGAGTACATTGCTACATTATACGAGCTATAGCAATAACATGCCATGGTTTGCGAAACTTGTACCACTGCACGAAAAGCTAAATTTGGGCACTACCTTTAATTGAGTGATTACTTTGCATTTTTTCATGCTATCAAGCTACTTCGATCATTTTTTGGGCTTGAATCAGTATACTGAAGTCTTTTTGTCTTGTTAGCTGTTCTTTTCAAGCATTTTTACATTGCTAACATGCTATGTTTCTATTCCACCAAAACACCCGCCCCTACGTTTATTTTCACACTATGGTTAGGGAACACCTTCTTTTGTAAACAGCATGAATAAACCTTGTATGCAACATTTTCAAGTGTGTTTTTTTTCACAAATCAACGTATGTAAGAGGTAACGCTGGCATGAACTGTTGGAGCATTTTTTTGCTAACAGGTATGCCAACTCTGACCTACATAGCTTCATAATTGCCAAGCTTCGATGTCGCGGAGTTCCATTTCGCTTCAGCTTCAACTTTTTATTGAGTGCTTTCGAATGATTCTTCAGTGCATTTGTTTGGGAATTGTACTCGTGTTTTGAGAGTTCTAGCCATATTTCAGTTTCTCTTACTTCTACCATACGCGTTTCACTACATCAGAGTTGTCAGATATTTTTCTAAAAATACATGCATTCAATGTAGAGGTTTCGTTTATAAAAAATGAAAGCACTCTTCAGGTCCTTTGAACTGCTTTACTTCATGTTGAAGTCTAATTCACGGATAAAAAATAAAAACCACTGAATGGCTATTTAACGTCTGGTTTCAAGGAGATGGGCAGCAGTTAGATTCGATGCTTTGGGATTCCATAGAAACACATATGAGCCTTTATTTTTTTAGTTGTGTTTATATTTATTGCATATCTGACAAAATCAAACATTGTCGTTTTTCACAACGTAAAGTGCCATGTTAAAAACCACTGGTGCATTGTCTTATGAAGTAGACACACATTCTCTGCAAGCGATGCATGCATATTTAATTTTTTGTTTTGATGACCTAGACCTGATTACTTCCTCTGGCAGCTTTCCATTGAGAGCGTCAAACAAGTCATTCACCTCTTTAGTGAAACCTGCAGTGCCTTCACTGTTCTCTTGTCCGGGGACCCCTTGGTTCTTGTAAAACTCCAACCCTATTGCTGTTTCATGGCTGAGAAGCTGCAATTAAGTGTACAACAGTGAGACACGTTAGCAGTATTACCCTATGTGGTTTCCACATGACAATATATCTAACAACAATAGTGTTAACTAATACTAAAAAAAAGTTTTTTATACCATTCCTTGCTTGTGTCATTTCAATTGTCACTTCTCACCTGTGCAGCAAGGTGTACATTTTTGTGCATGCAGTCCGGGTCAATGTGTGCTTGCGTCAATTTTGGCACCACACGAAGCTGCTGATTCTCTTCGACTTTGTCGAGCAAGTGGTAGTGATCGCAGGCGACTTTGCATTGTCCAGCCTAGAAAAACACGTGCACATGAATTGCAGAGCATGTATAAATTTCGATTTCTATATAGCTTACCTGTGCAACGTTGTGCTTGTGGAGATGGTTGCGTATGCACTTAATGATGTGTGGCGCATCACACAAGAAGTGAAGATGCTTTCCAGAAAGGCAGGGATGCTTCACTTAGTTAACCGCAGCTTTCCATCTTCCAGATATCCCGAACTGTGCCCACATGAACTTGTTGCTGCTGGCACCATTTCTGACTACTGCAATCTCCACTGCGTTTTGCCTGAAAAGTTCGACAGCCTCGAGCACAAGTCTGGCAAGGACGTCACCTGGTGCAGCTCGTTTGCTGGCGAAACTGGCGATTGACTGCACTCAGTTACTAAATAAAGGAATGTACATGATCACAAGGGCATGGTCTGCAAGGTCTTTTTCAGTGGTGTCTTTGCCGTAGTCGACAAAACCTTCGAATTTCAAATTGCTCTCATCAAATTCAACTGTTTGTCGCACTTTCATTTCATTAAATATTAATAATCGATAGCAGTTGAATCCTTTCTTGTTTTTCATCTGACTAGCACTGTTCTCAAGAGCCGTCTTGTTAAATTCAAATCAGCATGGCATGTATTTCAGAATTTAACGCAGCCTGTTCATTGATGGAAGGGGAAGCAATTTCATATTGTCATTCAGACGATATGCTTTTGGGCTTGAAATTCTCAACAGAAGGCAATTCAGGAGCCATTCCTTTTCGTAGCGCATCCCTTTGTTGGATTTTCTTCCCAGTAACTTCACTGCTGTTCATAATTACACACGTTGGGCATGTGGCAGGTCCTCCTCACTTTCTTAATTTAGCTTTCTCGTCAATTGCCTGTTTTCTCTTTTCAGTGTGTGCCTCTAGTGCTGTATATTTCGTTTTTGCTGCTTGAACTGCGGGCCTGTTTTTTTGAGGGCAACATTTGCTTTCTTCAGCCTGTTCTTGTGGGGGATTTGGAATGTTGCTGCCACAGCCCTGCTTCTCGCTCTTGTGCACATAGTGCATACTGCACTGTATACAAGTATGGCGCATTTCTTACTCTGCACATGTGCTTTGTTAGTTGTGCTGTTTGTTTAGAAAAAATTTATTTCCACAAACGTCAATAACACTCAACAGAACATTTCCTTCTTAGACATACTCTAACGATGGTGACAAAACAGACGTTATTTACATGAACATGGATATAAGATGACGTTGAAAGAACATGTACATTCGATGGTTCACACAAACACAACCACAAAAATACTTCAAGGTAAACAAGAGACGCAAATAAAACTTAAATATGTACATTTTGCATATTTACATGTTGGCATGCCATTTCTGCTGGCGCATCGACAGATCAGCCTACCAATACCAGGCCAGCCGAAAGACAAGGACAAGTTTCACTCGTCCGTCATAGACCGACACAAAAGGGCACGACTAGTGCCGAAGAAATTCCTCTTCACCGAGGAAGAAGAGCTCCTCCGACAAAACAGACAGCAGCTCCGAGTACAATCGTTCTAGGATCTGGTAGAGCACGCGGCGGCGGCGGCCCGCTGCAGCCACCTCGCAGCGGTTGCGTCAGAGGCAGAAAGAGCCAGCAACGATGAGAAGACAAGCGAAGCGGCCTCGCGAACAACGCCCAGAAGAAAGGAAGCGATTTACTCTTAGGCAGTGAAATCCGGCATGTACGGCTCTCCAAAAAACGCGAGCAATGACACAATGCCTCTGAAAATGCTGATTTGTTTCCCGAAGGGAGCAGTTCGGACATGTTTCAGACTGGACTATTCTCCACCTTTCAAGGCGGTCGAGAGTGGGAAGCACACCCCATCCCAGGCGCCACATGAAGTCCCGGAGGTGTCCAGGCAGGAAAGAAGCCGTTAAGGTGCTCCAAGACACCCGTATGAAGCGAGCACGGCGGGCTGGCGGGACCAACGGAAGCAACAAAGCAGTAGTTGTCTCAACTATGTGGTTGTTGAAAACATCTATGCCAGGACAGCTCGACTTGACATGGCAAAAAAATGCAATAGTTGTTGCATAAAACGCAGGAAGTGTTATTGACTGCGGCCCCCTGTTAAGTTGCACATTAGGCATCAAATGCCGAAGGTGAGTACCCAGAAAGTAATATGCAAGCGTTCGTGCGGGAGATTCCTCCCCTTGCACTAGGCGCGAAAAGAAGCGCAGTGCCAGCAGCCGACAGCGTATGGACACTGAAGGGAAAGCAAAGCCTCCCTGAGAACTCTGCTGTCCCAGTGCCGCGCGAGAGACCAACTCAGTGCCGCCTGACCAAAAAAAAAGGAACACAAAGCAGACTGCAGTGATCGCACGATACGTAAAGATGGTTGCACGACGTGAGAAAGGTACCAAATGCGACCGCAATATACAGTCTGCGCTAGGTACCTCCGCTCAAGAAGCGGGAAGTCAAAATCCCGTGCATCCTGAATTTTCAGTCTTACTTCTTTGAGAAAATTTAACCAAACAGATTCGCAAATGCCATAGTGGTTGTATAAAATACCTAAAATACGAAGCTTTCACCAAACTTCAATTTTTCTAGCCGCTCCACGAGGGCCACAAAACTTCTCACATCTTTTGCGTTTGTAAAGCTGTGAAAAGGCCTTGGTACCACTACGTTTTCAGCTGCATTTATTGTGATGCGTCCTTCTGTTTCCACAATAATTGCCTTGTCGATAAGGAGAACTGCATTGATCACAGAAGCCTTGTAGATTGTAAATGTATTATCAATAATGTTTTTGGGTGGTGCAATCACAGAGCTGCTTACTGCTTAATAACTTCGACATCTCAGTAATTGGTAACCAGCCATTCAATTCTTGGGAGGACGCACCCTCTGCAGTGTCTGTGCTAGGGCCAATGTGCTATTCTGCCTCATGCAAATGTACAGGAACTGCATTTCCCCTCACGTCCCATTGATCTCTCCTTATCTCCACAAGTTCCCCCTCCGTATTGTGAATCCGGCTTTTCAAGATGTCCTCGGACGCGAAGAGTTTTTCGCAAATGAGGCAGTGGCCTCGGAATGCTTCGCCCATTCGTAAAAGTGCCTGTTCCCATTTCACTCGCGGCCCCAGCGTCTTAGGCACCTCGAAGAAATGCACTGACTGTAACCCGGCTGGATGTGCAGCCGTCAGATAACACCCGTAATCACGTGACATGTTACGTTACGCTTCCCTTTATATAGCACTAACCCAACTGCAATAAAGTCGTTGTTCACTCGACGGAAGGCCTCGCTACATGGTGGCAGCGGAACCCACCTGATGCATCGATAGCCTCAGCGTTATTACCACCCCCGAAGCCCATAAAGGCCTCACAGGAACCTCGGATTGCCTGCAAAACTTGGGAAAGTGAGTTTCTGTTGTTTTCCACTGCTACGAAGTTGAACACACAGCCATAGAATGTTCAAGCAGCCACTTTGTTAGTTACCATAGGTGAAGAAGCTTATGCATCCAATTTTTCGGGCCTTCAATTACTAGCCGTTGGTTTTCCTATGTGTAACATTTTAGTGCATATGCATCTCAGTGTGGGTGATACCCTGATTGGTGTAACCATTTTTTTGAAGCGCTTATTCCTGTTCTGTTGTGTGCAGTAGCTCATATGTATACTTTTTACTATCAGTCTTTCTTTTACCGGTGCATCTCTTTTTTGTAAATTGACACTATTTGCACTTTTGTATGTTTCAGTATTGCCTCGTCATTTCTCTTTTTCTTGTTTGTAGCGTTCCCATGTTTTTCGAATACAATATCGTTTCTTTGTTTAGTTGTTAGCGTGCATATATTTTTTACTTGCATATTTTTGTTATCGCAATAGAATTGCGATACTTTGGTGTGTTGTGTCTATTACTGTAAATTTCTACAGCATGCATATCTGCCGTCTGCTGCTGACGTTTGAATTGGGCTGACGGGCCTGTCAAGCTACTTGTATGCAGATTTTGTCGTCAGCCTTTCAATGTATTCACGATAAATAAATAAAGAATACCTCACCATAAAAAAAAGCCATAAAGTACCTTCAAGTTCGAGAAAGCGGAGTACAGAAGTGATGCGGAAGTTCTGATTAAAACATTTAAAGAGCACTACAGGCCTGCGACCAACTTGACTTTTCAAGAATATCTTTTTGGTTGAAGAAACCAAAAAGTAGGCGAAATATTTAACGAGTGGCTAACGAACCTGTGTGTGTTAGCGAAGAACCGTGAATTCGAGAGCCTGGAAGACCGCATGCTACGAAGCCGAATCATTTGCGCACCACGGATAAGAGCCTCCAGGAAAGACTGATAGCCGAAAATCCGACGTACGAAAACACTGTCGACATGTGTCGTGCACAGGAACAAAGCAAAGAGCACTTCAAAGAAATAAGTGGAGCTACAGAATCAGGTGAAGGCACCCTAATAAGTGCAGTCGCCGTAGGAAAAAGTATCTGTTGCTACAAATGTGGGGGTCAAATGCACCACAGTGACATGTGTCCAGCGAGAGGAAAAACATGCTGAAAGTGCGGAAGTTTAAACCATTTCGCTAGAGTATGCAGGTCATTCGAGTACTCGCGAAACGTCAGCCAACAAATACGAGATGTTCGAGCAGAAGACAACAATTTTTTGCTACAAACATTGACTGTCGGCGCGATCGCCAGTGATGACTGGAGCGCAACTGTGTACGTCGAGGGCTATTCCATCACATGCAAGCTAGATAACGGTGCTAACTGTAGTGTTTTTCAAAAAAACGATTTTGAAAAATTGCCAGATAAACCTCAGCAAGCTTGCAACGTTAAGCTCACAGCATTTTTTGGGCACACAACAGCCGCGCATGCGCAAGCTCAGTTGATGCGTTCAGCGAATCACTGAACTAAAGAACAAACGTTTTTATTGTCGAACAAGACGTCGCTGCCACTTTGAGTGGTGCAGCAGCTGAAAGTCTTGGCTTCATCTACTGTATGCGAGTCATACAGCATGAACGGTGTTCGCCAGTGCAATCCTTCGCAGGTGTCTTCGGAGGACTCGGGCAGCTAAAAGACTTGAAGTATGACATGACGCTCAAGCCATACGCAATGGGAGTCGCCGTTCAAGCGAGAAGAGTTCCCATGGCTCTTCAGGACAAGGTCAAAGCTGGGCTGCAGCACATGGAAGCCCAGGATTTCGTCGCAAAGGCAACCGAACCAACCGAGCCATATGATGACAGTTGTTAAGAAGGACAAGGTTAGCATTTACCTGGATCCTACAGCGCTTAACAAAGTGTTGCTGCGGCAGAATTACCCAATGCCAACCTTAGAAGATGCAGCCTCGCAACTATCCGGTGCAAAGTACTTCTCAACGCTTGACGTGGCGTCAGGGTTCTGGCAAATTAAGCTAACCGAACCAAGCTTGAATTTCTGCACGATGAGCACGTCATATGAGCGTTATCCGTT